CTTGATCTTTCTAAAATTATGCTTCAATAGCTTGTTGAGATGCTGTGTCTCTTTCCCTTGAATGAAAACAAAAATTTTGATGTCTGAGGTTCTTCCCATACCCTGCCTCACTTGTGCCTATCCCTGACTTAGGTCACATGATGTTCAGACACATTGCCAGCCACCTGTGTTGTAGCCTTAACTGCTTGTTAAGCTTTTTTAACAAACACTCAAGGAAAATAGTGCTTACAGTGTGCTAATGTACCAGCTGTTATATTTTAAGCACTTTATATATTTAACTTCTTAAAATCTCATGAGTACTATAGGTAATTACTATAGGCTATTACTGTCATCCTGTTTTACAAATGAGAAAATTGAGGCTCAGAGAAAAAGAACTTGTCCATGTTCACACAGCTAGGAAGTGGTAGAACTAGGATTTGAACCCAGAGAGTCTTGCACTGAAGGTAGGTTTCTGATCACTACGCTATGCTGATTTTAATTCACTAAACCTCCATCTCCCCTTGTTGTAACCCTCTTATCTCTTACCTAGAAGACTTTAAGGACTTGATAACTTATCTCCACATTTTCTAGCACTTCTTTCTTTAATTTACCATACATATAGTCAGATAAGTCTTCCCAAACCACTTCTCATCCCATCCCTCTTCAAAATAACAACCCTGAAAATATCCCCGTTGTCAGACATTAAAAGCATCAAAGTATTTTCCATGTTTATTTCCACTCTTCCCCAGTGTACTGAGAATTATAATAGTCAAATAGTATAACTTGTGACTCCCAAATAGGACTTGTGTTTCTCAACTCCTTTTGTTCTTGTCAGCAGTCTTCCTTATTCCCAATACGTCTTCCCCTCACTACTTTCTTTCACAGACTCTCAGTATCTTGAGTGTCATGAAATCTAGGAATTCCTAGTTTCCCTAAACTGGCTATGATCTTCTTCTTTGAACCCTTGTATCATTTTATTTCTATCTCTTATGGTATTATGGTCTATTATATTTTCATGTGAATTTGTCTTATACCTTCTAGTATATTAGAAAGTCTTTCACTGTTCATGTCTAGTCCTTGTTATGCCTGTATGTAATAATATATTTAATAAATATTTGAATATAATTTAGATTGTTGTATGTGTCCAAGTATAAATATTTGTATTTGAGTATAATTTGAAAATTGTTAATACATTTAGGAGGAGAATACCCATTCCAGAACCAAAACCATAAAGGTTCCAGAGAAAAAACAGAAAGTCTTCTCAGCTAAAACACAAAAAGAACTACCAAAAGAATGGAAGAACTCAACTCGAATAAAAGATACTATGCAAGATAATCGCCTTGACTTATCTCCTCTATCTGGAAGTCCATCATCTATAGAAGTAATGAGATGTCAGTATCATTTCATTTTTCCTTTACTTGAATATTCAGTGATTTTCTAATATAACTATGCGAAAATACAATTTGAAGACTAATCATGAGGGGTCAATTTAAGATTATAGGTAGCTGATTGATTAATGTTAGTAACTTGATTTTTGCTAATTTGCGAACAATGTTACTTAGGATACTGAAGTTTTTCATGTTAGTTACAGATCAAATACGTTAATATGGAAAATATTTAATCTGTATTCACAAATTATAATGTGAAAGCTCAAATAAGTGCTTAATTTTAATATATGCTTTTAGCTCAAAGTATATTTAATAACATAAGAATTATGGGGATTTCTATTTTTTCCTATTTACATTTCATTTACAAAGTCCAAGGAATATCATGATTCTGAAACAATTGAGATTTTGCTTTCATTTTAAAACAATTGGTAAGGAAAAATTCATATTCTTTGGAGCTCTGGCATGTGTGTACCTTTCTAGTATAGAAATTAAAAGAGTAAGTTTGTACTTACATCATTTTCAGTTCCTTATAAGGATATTTTAAAGCATTTCTAAATGTTAATTACTTCAGTTAAAATTCAAGACTTAAATCAGTTAATATACTTCCTCTAAAATAGCTATTGTGTTCTATTAGTTTCATAATGCTCAGGACCACTGTCACTTCAGATAAGCACATACTCAGAAGACAGATGTACATGCCCTGATTTGATCTGAAAACTGAGTTCATTTATGTTAAGACTTATTTCAGCAATGAATTTCTTCTTTTTTAAATGAGGGATTTAGACCAGATGATTTCCCAAGCCTTTCCAGTCATTAAATTCTGTGACTTTAATACATAACACTATTGGCTATGATGTCAAAATATTCAAGATAATACTTAAGTTGATCACTATATTTTAGGTCATACTGTAGATATTTTTGTTTGAAATGTTTTGAAAGTTCTTATGGCTACAAATACATTTTAAATTCAGCCATTATTATTTTTCAAAGCCATATTTTAAACATAATTTGGTCTTAATTTATTGAAAGTTTGTCCTTTTCAAATACAGCTAAGTTTTGAGGATTTGATAAATTATTATATTCTTAGAATTTAATCATGCTATTTCTAAAGCAGACATCAATGATAACACCTATCGTCTGTTTCTTTTTGTGTGTACGTGTGTGTGTGTGTGTGTGTGTGTGTGTCTGGGGACAATGTAGGTAAAGAGAAAATAACAGAAAAGGATTTCACTCAAGATTACGACTGTACAATAAAATCTGTATCACCTAATCTAAAAACTTCATCACCTGAATCCTTAAACAGTAACAATGGAGTTGGAGGTCCAATAAAGTCACCCAAAAACAATGATAAAAACTTACTATGTGCAAGTGAACATTGCTCACCAATTTCACAACCACTTGTTTTGGTAAGAATGTATATATTTTTTTCCTTTATCAGATATATCTGAAGATGGTAAATCGTTTCCCTATAGTCTTAAATATACATTGCTTGTCTACTTAAGATTTTGGGTTTGGTCTAGAGATTAGGGGGAGAGGGACCTAATGACAAGTAAGATACAATTCCAACCCTCAATGAGCTTAACAGACTTATATGTCGCTGTACTGGATGAAGAATATGGTGGCATGAGAGTATAGTAGTCCTCCCCTTATCTGTGGTCACTTTCCAAGGTTTCAGTTACCCACAGTCAACTGCAGTCTGGGAATATTAAGTGGAAAATTCCAGAAATAAACAATTCATAAGTTTTAGATTGCATGCTGTTGAAAAGTGACATGAAATCTCGTGCCATCAGCCTCCATTCCACTTGGGACACGAATCATCTCTTTGTCCAGCATATCCATGCTGTAGATGCTACCCACCTGTTAGTTACATAGCAGCTGTCTTGGTTGTCAGACCATCGAGGTATCACAGTGCTTGTGCTTAAGTCACCCTTATTTTACTCAATAAGGGGCCCAAAGTGAAAGAGTAGTGATGCTGGCAATTTGGATATGCCAGAGAGAAGCTGTAAAGTGCTTCTGTTAAGTGAAAAATTGGAAGTTCTCTACTTAATAAAGAAAAAAAATGGTATGCTGAGGTTGCTAAGATCTACGGTAAGAATGAATCTTCTATCTATGAAATTGTGAAGAAGGAAAAAAATTCATGCATAGTGTATATAG